GCTGATAACCAGCTTCAAAATGACTTCAAAGTGGTCCAAAAAGGCAAGAAGAAGTGTCCTAAGCCAGCTATATCTCAAAAGAAGCAAGATATTACTATTCCAGAGCCTAAGATTGATGGGGAGGGCTGTTTATCTATAAATCGTCGTGGAAGGCAAATACGCCTCCCACAACGATTCCGGGATTGAAAAAAAGCTCTATATAGCTTTAGTAGCATCATATCTCTGCTTCATCAGAAAAACCAAGTATAATATATTTAGTATGTTGCTTTAAAGCTTCATTTTTAATGTTGGTTGCCATACAGAAATTCGTGCGGCAGGTGGGGACGTGCGTCAGGTGATCAAGTACGGTATCTTATCAATAATCTTCCCACCTCCGCGTCACTGTGCCTTACATTTTATCACTTACTACGAAGTATATAATTATGTGAAATGTCTCTTTTCCCTCCTTTTCTTTCCCTTCCTTCACCACCCAAGTCATCAGTCTTACATACCTTCTCATGCTTTATTCTATCTCTTGCGATCCGGGTTAAGCTTGATTCAGGTCAATGTTACCCCTAAGGCGAGAAGGGGCAGTCACCAATAGAATCAATCGGACGCATTCGCTGACTCGCCATTCGACAACCAAGAGATACCCAGATAGTAATTAACTTTAGACACGACTATATGACCATTGTATTAACAATTTAGAACATTCCCTTATCAACTGAACCCTCTAGTTGTCCCCATCATGACATCCAACATCGCGTTTTAACCCCTGCACAACTCGACGGTTATTGAGATTGAAGTAGTTTTACTCCATTTGCGCAGTAGGCCTTTCAGCCTTTCAATACACAAGACTATAGATGTCCAGCTCTAACGATGTGGAAGATCAGACGTATTCTTTATCAAATGGCGCCCCTACAACCTCAACTACAACCCGCACCCGCACAGCGTTCCCAAGAGTGAATTGATCGATGACTAGTTAAGCGATATGACCCCAGAGCAATGAATGTCTTTTGTTCAGCCGCATGAATCGGATTGAGCGCCCAGTCGGTATCAATTCCAAAGGTGGAAGTATGATTGTGAATACTCGCGATGCGCATCGCCTTGTTCATCTTTGTGGGACTAAGACTTGGAGTGCGCCCGGTGGAGAAGATTCTTGCGGCCTATCATGAGCTGGAGAGGGACATCTCATATAAAGAGGTCTCGACCGGGTTGGCTGTTGATTCTGGGCTCAATGCGAAGCAGGTGGATGAATGGCTGGATTCTGAGCTGGCGGCAGATGTTGTGGACGAAGAAACCTCCAACAATACAGAGGAAGATGGGCAAAACGGGTAGTCCCTCGTTACGTTTATTCAGAAAGTACATCTCTTGGCTGGAGTACAAGATCCCTCTGGGGTTATCGAAGTCTTTGTGAAGGTTAATGAGGACGGATCTTCGGCCTGAAGAAAGGCATTATTCTTCTATCAGATTCTATACTTTGAGGGAGTGGGGATGTTGTTTGAAGGCTTCTTTCTGTCTATGCCCTGAGCAGTTCCATTAGGCTTAGGTCTTTCTCTAACATTGCTTCTTGGTCTTGTTCAATATTACTAAATTATTAATTAATATTATTTTCTTTTTTCTTGAGATACCTGATGAGTAGAAATATAGTAAAAGTAGCGGAATTCGCTGCGCTGATATTAATAAGCTCCCCCACCCTAACTAATTAATGATAGCTTCAACATTTATCTCACCCCACATCTTAACTTAAGTTTAGCCGGATTAATAATACAATCGGTGGGGTTAACAAACTATTTCATTCCTACTGAACATACAGTAAAAGCAAAGAGTTTCCCTGTTCCAGCCTCCATAGCGTCTAACATCATTCATCATGCCCGCAAAAGTGTTTGTGACCGGAATTACCGGCTATATCGGTGGCGACGCATTCCACCTCATCCAGCAGACCCATCCGGATCTCGAGTTCTCAGCTCTGATTCGAACTGAGGACAAAGCTCAGCAAGTACGCGACAAATATCCGAAGGTGCGGGTAGTCCTGGGAGACTTGGACGATGCAGAAAATATTGCCAAAGAGGCTGCGTGGGCAGACATTGTGATCCGTTCGTTTAAGAAACCGTATACGTAATTGACTACCCGGGCTACTCCAACTGACATCATTTAGACACCGCCGATGCTTCGGATCATGTTGGGGCCGCAAACGCCATCGCAAAGGGGATGATCGAAGGCCATAGTCCCGAGCGGCCGGGATACTGGCTGCATACTGGTGGTACTGGTATCTTGACCTACTTTGATTCAGAAGTACGCAAGGTCTCTGGTGAGCCTGACGACAAGGTGTTTAACGATTGGGATGGTGTTAATGAGCTGGTTAATCTGCCTGCGGCTGCGTTTCATCGGAATGTAGATGAAATTGTATTGGACATTGGCTCCAAGCATTCCGACCGTGTCAAGACGGTCATTGTATGCCCTCCTACAATCTACGGCCGCGGCAGGGGACCCGTGTCAGGTCGTGGTCGACAGGTCTATGAGTTGGCCTCGTTTATCCTGACACAGAAGTACAGCCCCCAACTAGGAAGGGGCTTGGCTCGATGGAACAATGTGCACGTCTACGACCTAAGTAGGCTATATGACGGCCTAGTACGGGCCGCTCTTGATCCTGCAAGAAAGGACGACAAGGAAATTTGGGGCGCCAAGGGCTACTTTCTCTCCGAGAATGGAGAACATGTTTGGGGGGACCTATCCAGGCTGATCGGTCAGCAAGCTTTCAAACTTGGCCACCTTACGCAAGAACCAGAGCATAAGGAATGGTCGCTTGACGAAGCCCTGAAATCACCCGCAGGCTTCGAGGCTGCTAGCTGGGGTTTCAATTCCAGAGGTTCTGCTCTTCGAGCGACGAAAGTGTTAGGCTGGAAGCCCCAAGAAAAGAGTCTTGAGGCAGAGATTCCTGAAATTATTCGCGCTGAGGCAGCGAGGCTAGGTCAGTGAGCCTCGCGTGATCTGTGTCAGCATGAGCTGTGTATTAGGGCTATGGATAGGCAGTTATTATTGAATGAGATCCATACATATATAGTTTCCGTGATAGGTATTAGCTCTATCTAACATTGTATCCTTTCACAGCAACGGGCCCTTGTGCACAGTTCAAAAGGCAAACAGGCAGAAAAAGGCTATTGTTTTTATGACCTAACATTTCAACAATCTACCTGATTTATCGTATCCCCTGCACACCACCGCTCAACAGTACATTTTACAGCGGCCTGGAGATTTTGTAGCGTCCTTTCAGCAAACCAAGCAAGATGAGGCGTCAAGACCAAGTTCAGGTTTGCTGCGTCCGGGTTCAACAAAGGCGAGTCTCCTCTCCCAATAGGCTCATTAGCATAAACATCAACCGCTGCTCCTGAGATGCTCTCCTCTTTAAGTGCATGGAACAAAGCGCCCTCATCCACGATGCCACCTCTGGCAACGTTAATTAGTACGGCCTGAGCGGGCATCATGCGTAGCTCCTCGATCGACACCAGGTTAACCGTTTCTGGACTTCGCGGCAAACACAGAATTAATACGGTAGACTTCCTCAATGTATCTTCAAAAGAAATCCGACCTGGTCGCGGAGTAGCCCCCTTACGCTCGGCCACTATCACATTCATCCCAAGCCCGCGAGCCAATACTTCGATGCGCTTTCCTAACGATCCGTACCCGATGATTCCCACAGTCTCATCGCAGCACAGCAATGGTGCCTTCCCATCTGGGGTGCGAAGTCGTCTGTGAATTGAGCCGTTCATTTTCCACTCCGTGTCATGAGTCCTGTCCGCAGGCACCGTAGTCGTGATATTATTCAGATTGACCAGTTTCCTCCGAGTAGCGAAATAGAGCCCAATTGCATGTTCACTGACACTATCCACATTTGTACCGGGACAGTAACACACAGTTATCCCTCGAGCTTTGGCGACAGGTTTATCAACACAATCTGTTCCACTTGCCATGATCACTATCAGGCGCAGTTTTGGAGTGATTTGGGGGCTCAAAGTCCCCGCCGATAGTCGGATTGTGGTGGTTAAGATGATCGTGGCATCCTTAACACGAGAAGCGAGATCTGATTCATTGGTCCAGCTGTAAACGTCGAGAGAGTATGGTTGGGCTAAATCGAAGCTTGGAATCGGGCAATGAACTGCCTCTATGGCAACTATGTGGTGCCTATTGTTGTCCGTGGCCATGAAGGGTGACAAGAAAGACAAATGCAAAAGTATGACAGTTTGTAATATTATTGCGAGATATTAGAACTAGACACCTTTTCAATTCTGATATGCGTGCATGGTGTATAGAAAGACATAGGGCGCAGAATCCGCATGGCCGATTTTAACCGACATAGCGAATGACACAGGGCGCGGAATGAGATATCTCACTTTTTGACCTTCGGTCTGTGGTATCGCTAGGAAAAGTCGGTCCCTGGGCTATGGAGTCCACTCGGTCCGATCTTTCCAAGCACAATCGTCATGCGAAAGATTGGTCAGTTGATGCTAGAGCCTGAGGGACTCTGCCTTTGTCTTTCTGACGCCGTGAGCGCTGAATGCTGGTCAATTGAATCTCTCAGATATCCCCAAGTTCTTGGCTCTCCTCAATCCGAAATATTGTTTCTTTCTTCTTTTATTTGGGGTTTCACTAGTACAGAAAATCCGTAACCTCACGACATCTCTAAGCTCTCCAGGAATAAAACTGGTTGAAAAGTGCAAATTGAGTCCTCATATATATGCCGCAAAGGACTGGCTTCGAAGCAACAGTTTCAAAGGATTTCCATGAGCAACATAAATTTATAGAATTCCTTAGTCTACATATATCTTCCCCTCTGACACAAAAGCTGCCTGACCAGCAAGATCAATCCTCTGCACTGCATCCTTCTCCTCATTCAACGTAACTTCCACGATGATGTGACTTTGTCTTCCCATCTCTGAGCCCTGGCTAATGTAAAGCCGGTGCTTTCGGCCCTTTTGACTATTGGCTAACGCAATATAAGCGCCCAGGGAGCATCCACCACTTCCACACGCAGGATCTTCTAAATTAATAGCAATCATGCGAACACGAAGCTCCCAGACGGTTATATCTCCCTCTGATCGAGTCTCTAATAGTTGATAATACATAACACCGGTGAAAGATGGTGTCCAACCATCATCAAGCTCAAGCTCAGGACTTGGTCCCGGGACAAGACCAGAGAACAGATCTGTCCTCTCAGTTAAATCCACCAGCGCATACGTAACACCCTTGACCATGGATACGACAGGTGATGCATCTCTTACGCCATGCAAATCCGCTGCTGCCGTTAAAGTCGCCTGGGCCGGGAGGATCCGGCTGAGTGTCGCCTCTTGTTGGTGAATGTGTATGTTATGGGGAACCCCTGCGGAGACGACTTGGCTAGTTGGGTCGTGAGATATTGCAACGGGCCCGGCTTTGGTAGTTATGGTTAAATTGGTTGATTCGCTGGCATCGTTGGCTAACAGCTCCCGGAAGAGCAGATGGCCTGTGCCAATGATAGGATGGCCGGCAAATTCCATTTCATTAACAGGAGTGAAAATGTCCACCCGAGGCCTTCCATCGTGGTCCGAAGGGTGCAAGAAAACCGTTTCGGAGAAGTTGAATTCCTTGGCGATCTGTTGCTTTTGCTGCTGCGACAGTTTGTGATCGCCAGTCTTCACGATAGCGAGTGGGTTTCCCTTGAACCTAAGCAATTGGTTCAGTTACCAGAGGCCGATAATGAATTTAAATAGGATAGTGATCCATACCTTTCTGATGCGAATACATCAAGAGTGACTAGCAGAAGGTCAGTGCGGAAGTTGTTATGATGAGCTGGGGTTTCTACCATATGACGCCTGGTCGCCGGACATTATGACCTTTTGCACGAAGAACTTGTAACCCGAAGTGGTACAATTGCCGGAGAGCTTTTGGTTAAAAGATCTCGCTCTTAGACGTTTTTCAGTGTCTTGCATTGTGTATTGAAGGACGTAGTTCATATAAAGAGGCTAAAAATCGGCTAATATCGGGGACCCACTCACGCCCTGTGTAGTTCGAATGAGTCAAGAAACGTACAGAGTAACTATCATATGAGATGCCCAGGCCTTTAGTAGTCCCGATAAAGTGATTTGGTACAGCAGAGCCAATAACTAGGCAGGCTCCCAAGGCGGATAAAGCATGAGCGAGACGCATACTGGTGTTAAAATATAAATACTCATGTCGCTGTAGGAAAGTCGGATAGAAGATATTCAAGAAAGAAGCATCTTTTTCCAAACTTGATAATGATCTCTGTCAAGGGCGGCTTTACAGGTTTTATAGCCGAGGATAAATTGACCTGTCAGATCTGGGGAACTTGCTTGCTATAGCATACAGACCATGACTTTGCTCTTGCAGGATAGGTATTTTTTCCAACAGTCATATACTGCGTCTAATCTGCCTATTGTCGGTCAACAGCGCCGATGGTAACAGTGAAGGATGTGTGCAATGGCTGATTGCGGTTCAGCAGCAAAGTATTCTCACATATGCTAGCCATTGTGGTTACAGCCCAAATAAGTGTTCTCATAGGAGAGAAATTTTTTTTTCTAGCTTACACAAAGAGAAAGAAATAAGAAGTAAACATAGCGATTGGGGCCACGCATACGAGATCTCACTGAATCTTGATTTAGGATACAATGATTAAGGAGACATATCATAGAGAGGCCATTTTAGCAGACTCACGTCCTTCCTTACTAAATTGACATCAGCTTCGAAAAGATCTGATCTGAATAATGGCGACGGCCAAGTACCGTCTTTCGCTGAGTCATATATTTGTCAGGTTACCTAACCCATATCTAGGAATAATTCTGAGCTAGATCATGCAGAATGAACGTAAGCATGAGGGGATTCAATACAGACTAACAAGAAAACCGGGGCCAGGACTGATTACGCCCTAAATATATAACCGACTTGGTCGTTCCAGACTTAACAAACTAGGGGTATACTAGTCAGGTAATATCGTTACATTAACCATTTAATTATTAGAAATTTTATATACCCCACTAATGTCAATATAGGCTCAATGGAGACATATAATACGTATTGGAGCCAAATATATGTACAGTATATTGCAAGATGTTATCAAAAGCAGAAGGAAGGGAGGGAAAAGAAAAAAGGGGAGAAGCTTTTCATGACGCTGGGATGAGGCGGAAGGGCCCCAAAGTACAACTTCATATAGAATTAAGGTGCTGACTGCTACAGTGGTATTTGCGTAGGTAGGACATATCTAATAGCTGATGTAGATTATCGGGCTGTTTCTCAAGTTCGTTGAGTATTTGCAGAACTACTGCTTTGGCAAGAGATGTGACTTGAACACGAGAGCCTTCCCTCTTCCTCGGTCCGATTCTCGGGAGACAAATAATTTTACTGTAATATTCCATCTTAGGCGGGGAAATCAGATAGCTAGCTCCATATGAGATTCATAGTTCTTGACAGTTACGTTCTTATGGCTATCCATACTACTGCCCATACAGAAGTTCGCCAATAAAAATCCAACACAGGTACGAGTTAGTGCCAGAGAACATGATGATAATATTCGAACAAATACAACATCCATACCACGATACGAATCACATCCTAAGTACTTCACCCATTCCACATAATCCCACTCGTAACACTTCCCGTAAAAACCGTCTAATGGAAAATAGCCCAGACAGGACCTGAAAGTAAATTAGTATACATACCCAAAAAGAAACCAAGATCGAACCACTACTTACCCTGTCCATTGTAGCTAACACTGGTACAATCATCACAAGTAGCAACATTGTTATCCCAGCATCCCTTATCCGTGAAGATGGACATCATGACAGAACCCATGTCGTGAGCCTGGAAGGTGAATTTTCCATTACCGTTTACTGGGCCGATACAGCTGTTGTCGTTGGCACTGCCGGTGTCGGTGCATGATCCTTGGGGGCCGCAAAGTTGGACGTAGCCGGCTGACGCGGTAGCGACGAAAACAGGGAGAACGAGGCTCTTGAATTGCATCTCGGAGGTGTATATAACTTTTTGGAAGATGAGG